ACATCCCAAATCCTATTTAACCTGTTAGTAGCCTGTTCTCATTTAATTTGTTAGAAGACACTGAAACACTCTACACTTCGAAGTCTCTGGAATCTAGTTATTTTATTATATTTATTCCTGAAGGAAACCCAACAACCATGAATTGTACTTCTCAGAATTAGAAACTAGTTAGAAACAAGAGAAAAACACTTGAGGAAACTGAACGCCCTTCATCTATAGTTGAAGACTGTCTTCCCGAAAACCTGATCAGGTAAAAAGCCTGCTCCATGTACTTAGCTTCCTTTTCTTTCTCCTGAGAATGCAAGAGACTCCTTGATGTAACGCTGTTTTGAAAATCTCCCTATAGTAAGACAGAGGAAACTTTGATGGGGCACATCAAAGTTGAAACCTTACCTGTTACTGTCTACTTACAGTTGTGCATGGAAGCTATATGGAAGAGGGTACTTTACATGTAACCTGCTAACTACTCAGGGAGGCTGTTCTTGTAAGCTCACTCCTTCACTGTTTATAGCAAGGAAATCGGAACCTGTTTTATCTACATCAGTAATGGAGGACAGTAGGCTGCTACCGCTGTTAAACACTGGCATAATTGCTGAAGCTAGAATCTCGTGCATGCTGTGGTATAAAGAGAGAATGGTTTTCTATTATACCTAACAGCATCAAACCCTCATGATTAACTTTTTGAAAGTAAAACAGCTGCGTAAGCTTCAGCTGAGTTACAACTTCAGTCTACGTAAGAGCTGGATTTTATTCTCAGCCACTCTAGTGTCTGTCCTTTCAGTTGATTTTTATTCAAACGGTACATGTTTTCATTTCTGCTTAACAAACCTTTAGGCACCAATTACAAAAGCACAGTCAAGCTGTCTTACGTGACCTTCAAGGCACAGTTTAGAACACAGAAACAGGATACAGGTAAAAACCTGAACAGTAATACTTGTGATACAGCCAGAGCTAGGTTACGATACAGTGTATGTATGTGCCTCTTGCCTTCAGAGGCAAGCGGAGTGGTGTTCCCAGTTGTTTATACTGGACAAACGGTCCTCCTCTTCCACTGCTTGTTTTCTTAAGGTGCATCCTGTGATTAGGCAGTGGCTCTACAGAGAACAGAAAAGGTCTGGTTACTTTTGCAGTGCTATACAGTCCTTTGCAAGATACCGCAAACGTGAAAGAAGCATCAAGCGTGCTTTCTGATCCAAGAACTGAACACTATATTTTTTTCGTTTAAAAAAAGGAAAATGAAGCTGCCGGTTGGTCGGAATTAGCTTTCCATTTCTTCGGCGGTACTTGTGCTTTCCAGGCCTTTTGAGGCTAGGCTGCTGGGACGCTGCAGGCGAGCGAAGCCGCTGCCGGGTGCTCT